GTCCTTGAATGATTTCATCTTCTGGAATCCTGAATGGAGTACAGCTAATGTTTTTAGCTAGTGTGTCTACTTTTGCATTTGATGTCAGCGTTGCAGTTTCAAGGTGTGATGTGTTATCACGCATTGTTGGAGAAGCTGGCAGAAATCCTCTTTGGAAAAGTAAGGAGGCATCTTGAAGCTTTTCTGTACTCACTCTCAGCAGATGATGTTTCAAAAATCTTCTCAGGTTCTTCAACAGCCAAAAATAAAAATTCAATGTTCATTTTTTTTTTTTATTCAAGATCATCCATGACAATCATCACCAGCATATCTCTGTTGTTAAAAACAATTTACCATAAAAAAGGTTCTTTTCATCCAGCTGGAGTCACGGTCCTGAGCAGTCCAGTCCTTGCTCACTCATATCAGTCCACCTGCAATGTGGCCTTGGTCTGTCGATCTCCTAGTGGTCTCTGCCGACAACGCCAAACTGTTATAGCAATATTTATTTAACAAAGACAGAAATACGTGGTCCAAGAATGAAGGTACTCTGTGAGATGATCAGCTGAGTTTTATTGCAACAACAGGAAACACAGAGAACAACCTGGCCTGTCTCTGTGCCTCTGCTTCTCTCTGTCACTGTCTCTCCACACTACTGTTATACACTGTCTCGAGAGGCCTCATATATTTTTTAACAAACACCATTATGTCATCTTAGCAAGATTTGATACAAGGTCAATGGAAAACACAAAGATAAACACAAAGTGATATCTAAGAATGACTGTTGTTAGCAAATCTTGTTCTGACTTTAATCATTCTATCTGCAGATGAACAGCATGTTATGAAAACCTAGGTCATTATAGGATGTCATGAATTACTAGCTTAAACATAAAAGTATTAGTTCCATTACAGTATCATTATTAAACAACTTTTACTGTGTTTTTATAACAGCATATTTTATAATTGCTTTAATCCTGACAGTCTCCAGGTTCAAACAATAGAAACAACAGTTTGCACTGGTGTGCAGCTCACATCAGTTTTTATAGAGGTTAACAACAAGTGTTCATATTTAATCTGTATTTAATCATCTAAACTGATGCTCATAACAACAAAGCATATTTGCCTTCCTCAGATTATACAAGTTAAATACTATAAATCCAAAATACTCCTCTCTAACCGATCCACAGCAACGTCATTGGTAGAAAAATAGTACATAACTCAGCTTAAAGTTAAAATCAGAATGCTTCAACACAGTTTCCTTTAGGTTTCTGAAAGCAGGGAAGCTTGAGGAGCCCAGACCTGTGGACCAACGGGGACAAGGTGAAAACTGGATGCACTGACTCAGTCTGCTGGAAGCTAAACTAACCAAAGTTCCCTAAAAGAACTAGATTTTAATGAGTGAATTCATGGAGGCCCTCTGATAAGTGTGCTGGTGGTCAATTTGAACTTATTGCTCTGGTTGAAAGCTTACAGAAGGCGTTAGGATCAGCAGGTCCTGCTCAGAACTGAAAGAGACAAGAAGTCCAACTCTGGGTCCAAGTCATGTCAAAGAGGTGCAGAGTCCAGTTTAATCTGAGGTTTTTACATGAGAGGTCCACAGTCTTGTCCTGGTGGTCCACAGCTCTGAAGGTTTTAGATGTTTCCTGATTCAACACAATTGACTGAAGTGAACGAGTGATTGACAGGTTTCTGCTCAACTTGTTGAGATTCTGAGCAGGTAAAGTCAGTTTTTTTGCTCCGCTCTCGGAGGAGTAAGATGCTTTTTCCCTCTCTCCTGCCCTCCCTTATCTTTTCCTGTTTTGTTGCTTGGAGCCTCCTCTATGTTTTCATCCTTTATCAAAAATTATGGATTTATTTTTATGGATTTGGTTAGCTGGTCTCAATACATTTTTGGAATAAGTATTTTACATGGAAGGACATGTCAAAGGTGGGACCTCTGTTTTGGAAAGACATTTGGATTCTGATCACTGRATTCTACAGATTGGCTTGGTGGTCTCCTGGTGTTCTACAAAACAGCGCCAGTGGCTATTCACGCCATTTCCTGACTGCCTGACCAATTTGAAGGATTGCCGTTCTATCAGCACTCAGACTCACGCCCTATGCGAGCTGGAACTCGGACTGCAAGCGGTTCTGCTGAGGGTYGCGGGCAGGCTGTGGTTCCTGGACTTTGCTGGCCAGATGGAATTGATCTTGGAGAATCTGATAGCTTAGCTCAGCGGACTTGCCCACACTATTTGTCTGATTGGATTCATCGCATTGGATGTACCAGCGGACATTAATGCAGATGGAAAATTATTATTGTCTGCCTGACCGAAAACATTTTCTCTGTTCCCAAACAACTGATTACAGACCACCCGCACTTCGCCTTGAAGTCTGTGGATGTAATTTCTCCTGGTGTTTACATCGAMTTATGGCTCCTCTCCCCTCTCACTTTGTCTAATCTGATCCCCTGAAGGTCAGTCTGGAGCTGCACAGAATGAACAATTCAACACCAGTATTCTGAACTTTGGCTGAACAACGGAGTTTTTCTTTTGGGAGGCTGGATTCTTCGGACTCTTTCCCTC